GGGTTGGTTTGGTGGAGGATAATCTATGCTTCAGACGAGTTCTGTACCAGTGGGAGGTTGAGGACTTGAGGAGGTTATATGAGATGCTCTCCAATGCACCTGCTCTTGTAGAAGGGACTCCTGACAGCTTATCATGGGCTGCTGATTCATCAGGGCTCTTCTCTGTTGCCTCTGCATACAAAGGGTGTGAGTTGAGTCTTGTTACCAATAGTAAAATAGCAGATCTCATCTGGAAGAATGTCTCTCCACCTAGAGTTCAATTTTTCGGCTGGTTAGCTTGGAAAGGTAGGATTAAGACTTCTTACTATCTCCAAAGAATTGGAGTTCTCAGTGATGGGTTTGATCCTCGTTGTATTTTCTGTAAAGGTGAGGTGGAGAATATTAATCATGTGTTATTATTTTGTCCCTTCACTTGGAGGATTTGGTCTAGAATCTTACAATGGTGGGGTATTCAGTGGGTTTTGCCTGGGTCTATCAATTGTCTGTTCAACTGGTGCATCGGTTTTAAGCTTAAAAAGCAGGAGCAGATGATCTGGAGAGCAATCCCTCTAGCAGTGCTATGGTCAGTTTGGAATCGTAGAAATGAGTGTATCTTCGGTAATGCTCAGGTGGATATTGATGAACTATGTGAATCCATTAAGGTTAGGATTGCTTTGTGGGTTAAATCTTCTTGCCCTTCCATAAATTACTCTGTTATTGACTTAGTACACCACCTTCAGCAAGTTAGAACCTGCCTTAGGAGAGGGTCTTGAGTTGGTTTCTGTAGATGCTGCTATGGCAATTGGAGTTCTGCTTCTGGTATGGTTTCTGCAGCTGCTGATATAGTTCTGCTTCTGATTCTGCAGCTGCTGGTTTTGTTTGCTGATTCTGTTTCTGGCTGATTCTGATTCTGCTTCTGCTGGTATTCTGCTTCTGCTTTGCTGGTTTTCTGCTTCTGATGCTTTTAGCTTGTCTCTGCAGCTGTTGGATGTTGTTGCGTATGGAAATTGTAGAATCTAAATGATGGTTGTGTTGATTTCCCTGTTGTACTGGTGTATCATCTCTTGGCCTGGGTGCTTTGGGTGTTTTTTCTCTTCTTTCCTGTTGGTTTCTCACCAACTTTTCGGTGGTGCTAGCAAATGATTGGGTATTCCCCTTGGTGCCAACCTAGTTGGGATTGGGGGGTGTACTTTGATGCTTTTTGCACCTCCTCTCTTTATTGATGTTTTCCCATATGTAATGTATGATTTCTCATCAATAAAGTTCTTTTCTTTGCTCATCAAAAAAAAAGTATCATGAAAAACCTTTTATAAAAATAATTATGAAAACTTTGTGACTCTTGAATTACGCTCAGAATAAAATACCACACATTAATTAAGGTAATTCAAGAATCATAAATCTTTTATGATCATTTTCATGAAAAAATTTTCATGATCCCTAACTTTTTTCTAACCTAAAAGGCATTAAATGCCATTTTGGAGATATTCTCAGAAGTATTATTTGATGCAGAGGATTAACCATGGATGACAGGTGCCCCAGGTGCAAGTCAGCTAGAGAAGACATCAACCATTTGCTCAGAAAATGCCCCGTAAGCCAAAGAAATATGGCTAGCTACAAGAAGCCACAGATGGATAGAGACAAGTAGAGACAACCTCTAGAGCAGTGGCTTCAAATAGATCTGAAGAACAAGGAAAAGGAGATCTACCACATTCCTTGGGGAATTGTGTTCTTATTCACCATTTGGAAAATTTGGAAGGATAGAAACAATTTTGTTTTCAGACAGGAGAAAGGCAATGTGCATGAAGCTATCAGATATATCTAATACCAAGCAATAGAGACTTACGAAGCTTTCCAAACTGACCACTTTACTCGAATAACTAATTTTGCAGGGAAAATCAAACGTAACATTGATGGATGCTCAAAAGGCAATCCTGGACCAGCTGGATATGGAGGGCTCTTCAGGGATGAGAGATGAGCATGGGTGCATGGCTATCATGGGAAACTGGAGGAAGCAACTAGCATGGAAGCTGAGCTTTGGGAAGTTTATAGAAGTCTGACCATAATGCTTGAGAAAGGGATTAAAGACGTGCATTGAGACAGACTCTGCTCAAGTTGTCAAGCTCATTCAGGGTGAACCCTCTCAGCACTTTCAGCACAAGGCACTGCTTGAGGACACCAAATTCCTGATGAAGAGATGCAATTGCACCATGGCACACAGCTGTAGAGAGGACAAAAAGAGTGCAGATGGCTTGGCAAACATAGGTGTTAATCACCAAGACTCTTTTGTTTTCATGGAATTGAACCCTAATCTCTTCATCTTTGTTTGATTTGAGTTCATTCTTGTGATTGATCTATGAAACAAACCTTAAATGGTTTATACAAACAAGATTTGTGGGAAGATCATTCATGGATATATGTATTTTGAACTTGTGTATGTAAATCATGAATTTGTGAAAAGATGAGGCCATAATCTAATGGTGAGGCAATATTGATGTATGTAATGTGGAATTATACCTAAATCATGCTTATATATCATGTTTTGAGTGAGTGTTGGTTTGATTTCGGCTTGGAAATGAGTTTGGAAGGTTTGTATCTTTTTGCCATTTTTGAACTGTTTGGGTGTCCCAGATTGCTTGTGCGGCCATGGGCTCTTCACGATCGGCCCATGAACCAAGCCTGGACCAAACCATTTTGTGCACTCAAGTGGCTCGAGCCTCCGCACGAGCTGAGCCAAACTGCTCAAGCAATTGGGCCGGCCGCACGTACAGCCAAGCAGAGGAGGAAACCTTCTTTTCTCGTGTTGGTCGACCTTCGGAATGCATTCTTAACCATATTTAAACCCTTTGGGGAGTGAAATGATGATTAAAAACTCATTAGGGAAGGTTGTGAATTATGAAAGATAAGTGTACAAATTGAAACAAATGATTTATCGAATGTGTGCGTGAAATGTTTGTGTAGGTCATGGGGCAAAAGAGACGCAACGAGATCAAACACACTGCGAGTAATAATATTATACATATATGCTCTTTATTGTGTACCTCAAACCATGAATGGTGAATGGTGAATGGTGCTGACATTATGAATTGACAGAAATGAAGAAATCTGACTAATGTTGTATGACATGTTCAATATGATTGGGTCCGAGGCCGCTTATTATATGATTAGGCCTGAGGCCACTTGTTATATGATTGGGCTCAAGGCCACTTGTTATATGACTATGGATATTGTGCGAACCTTATGATCATTTATTTGCACTGCTTTACTATGTTATTACTCGTTGAGTTTCGCTCACCCAATATTATGTATGCTCATTTAGGTGATCAACAGCATGGAGCACACCCCTCGAGTCAGCTTCAGGTGCTATTTTGTGACCCAATCGAGTCATGCCTCCGAGATGGAGTTTTGTCTTTGACTCACATCGCACCTTGATCTTATTTTGTTTTTGCCATTATGGTCTTGGGTTTGTAAATAATATGTGCAAATTTCTTGTGGCACTTATATTTTTGCTTGGGCATGTAAATCTATTGATGTGCTATGAGGTTATCTTTATAATTTTGCTCATGATTGGCACAGCTCAATGGACTTCTCATTATTATATGCCCCTATTAGGATAAATATTTTGTATGATCATTTGAGACCTTCGGTAATTTACGGGTTACTAGCCGGTTATGATCCAAACTTTTAGGAGCAAGTTCGGGTCTTGACATGTTATTGGTTAAATCAGTAGGACTTATCACATTTCGGTTTATTTTTTACAAATAATGGAACACTTGTCTTTTTTGGAGACAATAGAATACTTGTCTCTCGATGAATGACGTGAACTAATACCCAAGATCAACCAATAACTTCTCCTCCCAGGGGCGACACTATGATGAGGGTGATGGTCCCATCCACCCATTACTCTATCAAAAGGGCTTGGATTTTTTTATTTTTTTATTTTTTTTTGGGTATGTGATAAAAAAATTTATTTGATAACTGCATTCATTAGAAATTAAAATTAATTAGGAACTATTTGATAACTACATTTATTAGAAATCAAAATTAATTAGGAACGTAAACAGCTTGTTTGGTTTGAGTTTTCTGAATTCACATTTCAAAACCTTGAAACCAAACACAGTCAATCCTTCTCTACTTAATGCTGATAGACTGGCTACCATGTACATTGCTGAGATTATTTGATTACACGGTGTTCTGATTTCCATTGTGTCGGATAAAGATTCTAAGTTTGTGTCAAGATATTGGCAAAGCCTACAAAAAGCATTAGGGATGGAGTTGAGGTTCAGTACCACATTTCATCCACAAACAGATGGACAATCTGAAAGAACTATACAGACGTTGGAGGACATACTCCGGATGTGTGTTTTGAATTTCTGTGAAAGTTAGGAAACTCATTTACATTTGGCGAAATTTGTGTATAACAACAGTTTCCATTCTAGTATAGAAATGACACCATATGAAGCTTTGTATGAAAGAAATGTCGAACTCTGATTTGTTGGACTGAGGTTGGGGATAGGTTGTTGATTGGGCTTGAAATTGTACAAGTTACTATGGAAAAGATTCAAATAATCCAACAGAGATTGCAAATTGCTCAAAGCTGACAAAAGAGCTATGCAGATTAAAGAATGAGAGACTTGGAATTTGAAGCTAGGGATCATGTTTTTGTCAAAGTCATCCCAATGAAAGGGCACACAAGGTTTGAGAAGAAAGGGAAATTGTCACCCCAATACATAGGACCATTTCAGATTTTAAAAAGATTGGATTTGGTTGCCTACCAGATTGCTTTACCACCGGGCATGGAGAAAGTGCACAATGTGTTCTACATATCAATGTTGCAAGGCTACCTTCGAGACCCTTCTCATGTTATTGACTATCATCAGATTATGCTAGATAACGATATGGTTTATGAGGAGAAACCTATCCAAATCCTTGATCAGCAAGTTAAACAACTAAGGAACAAGACTATCTTAATGGTAAAAGTTGAATGGAGGGAACATCATAGAAATGAAGCCATTTGGGAATAGGAAGAAGAAATGAGGCAACAATATCCAGAATTGTTTTCAACTTGAGGTAGACAAGTTTGGAGAACTAAATTTTTTAAAGGGGAGAAGACTGTGATAACCCAACCCATACTATGCTTAATTATGTCTGTGATTATCTATTTGATATAAATTTGCAAATTTGAGTATGGGACATATGTGAATTTGGAAAAATATCTGTTGAAAGTAGGAATACCTGTTGCAATTGAAACTTTGAACTGGAAGTGAAAGCCTTAGAGGCGCGATAAACAAAAACCGACTTCATATCTGTAATTAGCATGATTTACATAACTTCCGGTCAAATTTTGAAAAGTTATGATTTGTACTGATTAAAGCATGTTTTATGAGTTGGATCATATATGTGTTGAGCCTTATGTTCTTCATTCTTGGTGAAGAGCGCTTGAGAGTGAGTTAGAGAGAGTGGAAGAGGAAACGCTTCGGATTTTGAAGAGAATCAAGGGGCAAACCTTAGATTTGAGTTAAGGTATGTTAGTTTACTTACCACCTTTGGCTTTAGCTCATCTTTGTCATGGAATCAAGGAGTTAGGAATTTTGAGCTAGGGTTTTGAGTTATGTAATGGCTAGAGCTAAATGCATGGAATTGAACCCTAATCTCTTCATCTTTGTTTGATTTGAGTTCATTCTTGTGATTGATCTATGAAACAAACCTTAAATGGTTTATACAACAAGATTTGTGGGAAGATCATTCATGGATATATGTATTTTGAACTTGTGTATGTAAATCATGAATTTGTGAAAAGATGAGGCCATAAATCTAATGGTGAGGCAATATTGATGTATGTAATGTGGAATTATACCTAACTCATGCTTATATATCATGTTTTGAGTGAGTGTTGGTTTGATTTCGGCTTGGAAATGAGTTTGGAAGGTTTGCATCTTTTTGCCATTTTCGAACTGTTTGGGTGTCCCAGACTGCTCGTGCGGCCATGGGCTCCGCACGATCGGCCCATGAACCAAGCCTGGACCAAACCATTTTGTGCACTCAAGCAGCTCGAGCCTCCGCACGAGCAGAGCCAGATCGCTTGAGCAATTGGGCCGGCCGCACGTACAGCTAGGCAGGGGAGGAAACCTTCTTTTCTCGTGTTGGTACCCCGACCTTCGGAACGCATTCTCAACCATATTTAAACCCTTTTGGGAGTGAAATGATGATTAGAAACTCATTAGGGAAGGTTGTGAATTATGAAAGATAAGTGTACAAATTGAAACAAATGATTTATCGAATGTGTGCATGAAATGTTTGTGTAGGTCATGGGGCAAAAGAGACGCCATGAGATCAAACACACTATGAGTAATAATATTATACATATATGCTCTTTATTGTGTACCTCAAACAATGAATGGTGAATGGTGCTGACATTATGAATTGACCGAAATGAAAACTTGACTAATGTTATATGACATGTTCAATATGATTGGGTCCGAGGCCGCTTATTATATGATTAGGCCTGAGGCCACTTAATAAATAATTGGGCCTGAGGCATCTTGTTAAATGATTGAGTGTGAGGTCGCTTGTTAAATGATTGGGTCTGAGGTCGCTTGTTAAATGATTAGGCCCGAGGCCGCTTGTTAATTGGGTTGGGGCCGTTTAGGTAGTGGCAAGGGTGGTACCGAAATTGAGGATTATTTGTGGTCGGAGTTAGGGGCTGGTAAGTAGGAAAGATTAGGGTTAGGATTTTGAGAAGCAAGGGAAGATGACAAAATTGGAATTGTCTGATGGGCTAAAAAATAATAATTAAATGGTAGGAGTCCAAAGCAAAAACTATGGTGCTATTAGTAGCACTCTTAAAAAAATAAACAGTGTTATGGAGGTCGTTCTATATTTTCATATACTTCTTTTACATTTGGAGGATGAACCATTCCTCTTCCCAAATGGAGATGGTTTTAGTGGACATGTCAAAGTAAGTAATCCTGTAGATTGTGGTTCACCAATTTTTTCATCTATTTTGAATTCAAATTTAAGTATAAAATTTGATTTGACATGTATTATTCCAATTATTTCATCAAATTTTCATCAAAATTAATTTTTTTTTTCTCTTATCCCAAATTTTACTTCTCATCAAATTTGATGGAAAAAAAAATTTATCTCCAATACTTCATCTTTTTAATTTTTCATCAATTTCAAATTTGATAAATAAATAAATAAATAATTGATTCTCCCTTAATTTGATAAATATTAGATGGAAGGATTGGATTTTTCTGCACTTTTTTATCAAATTGCTCTTCGCAGCCTATAAAATTTTGAGAAGGGAGTGCCTTAGAGTCGGATTTTGTTGGCACATTACTTGAATGCGTGAAAAATACATATTTTGTGATTGGTACAAAATAGTGTGATTTACACATTTAGGTGCTGTCAATATACTTTTTGGATATTGGGTCCATTACTTTGAACTAATTGAAGTGTACGTGAACAAATCTATTTTTTGGTACCTTCGCATTAGGAATGGCAAAATTACTCAACCCGATTGTGTTTTGTCAAACTCGATTTTAATAGGAAAAGTTTGGAAGAGTATTGATAGAGTATGGTCAAGTATAAGGATACGTAGATTAAAACTGTCAAAATTAAGATTCGATATATTTTTGGAAAATAGGCTCAACCTTTTGATCCGTTTCTTTTTGGAAAATAATGGAACACTTGTCTTTTTTGGAGACAATAGAATACTTGTCTCTCAATGAATGATGTGAACCAATACCCAAGATCAACCAATAACTTCTCCTCCCAGGGGCGACACTATGAAGAGGGTGATGGTCCCATCCACCCATTACTCTATCAAAAGGGCTTGGATTTTTTTATTTTTTATTTTTTTGGGTATATGATAAAAAAATTTATTTGATAACTACATTCATTAGAAATTAAAATTAATTAGGAACTATTTGATAACTACATTTATTAGAAATCAAAATTAATTAGGAACCTAAACAGCTTGTTTGGTTTGAGTTTTCTGAATTCACATTTCAAAACATTGAAACCAAACACAGTCAATCCTTCTCTATTATATTTACACTACAAGAAAATGCACTTTTGGCTATCAAATTTGACAACTAAAAGGAATTTAGTCGCCAATAAGTAGTATGTGGCGACTAAAACAATTTAGTAGCTGACTAAAAAAATGTTAGTCAGTGTAAGTCTACATTTTAGGCTACTAAATCATGTTTTAGTTGGTATTTAGTAATTATTGACGACAAAAGGCCATTTAGTTGCCTAAAACAGACATATTTACCGTTAGTCTTTGGCTCTAAGGAAATTAGTCAGTCAATATTCACTGTTGGCGACTAATGGTTTGGTCGCTGTTAATAACATTTGCTACTATTTGCCAACAAATTTGTAGTTTTGTCGCTAAAGGTATAATGAAATTTTAGAGGGAAATGAATAAATGTTGGTGCCTGTTTATGTTTACACATCTGATGCTCTCTCTCACACACATATTCTGTCAGCACCAAACCTCACCAACCTCACCTCAATGCAGACCATCGCCACTTGCCACCGCCACTGCCACTGCCATCACCACAAATCAGGACCACCACCGCCGCATCCTCCCAAGTTCTCTCTCACTCTCGGTCTGTCTCTCTCTCACTCAAACCAAATGAAAGATAAATGGTTTAATGGTTCATATATATCAAAAAAAAAAAAATAGCACCTTGTCAAATAAAATTGTAAAAATTTATATATTTTTTGTTTTATTTTGTTATGATGGTTATATTTTATCAAAAATTTATTTTACTTGGAAATGGAAAATTTCAAATATTAATTAGCTTAAACCACAGACTTCTCCAACCTTCAACCCACATTTTTGATATAAATTTATTGTCAATTTTTTTAAGTATGATTAATTTGAATTTTGTTCATTAATGTTGACTTCGTGGACCTTTGCTTGTGCATCTGTCTGAGTGTTGTTCGACACTGGACTATCAGAACATAATTATTTTCCCAAAACTGTTTGGCTGAACAAACCTATTTTGTTTGGCAATTGTTTAGTTTGGTTAGGCCATGTCGAATTGCTACCTCTAATTTGATTAGAGTTTATTGATTTCTTTATATATGTTCAGGAGTTCAGTACCAAACAAATGTCGAACCATTATTTTTTGTTTTGTGTGTTTGCAAAACTCATAACTACAAGATGAACCTACTACAAGTTAAGAACCTCATCGAAGTTGTGAACTTTCTATAAGATGACATTATCATGCTCCATTAGTCTAACTATATTGGTGTTGCAGAATTTCAATTTTGGTCTAGCTAAAAACAGGCTTAACTTATGCGAATTAGGTCTAGCAAGGGAAGAGGTTAGGGCGTTGAAGGAAGAGGATTGGGGGCGGTGAAGAGTGAGAATTGGGTTGGGGCCGTTTAGGTAGTGGCAAGGGTGGTACCGAAATTGAGGATTATTTGTGGTCGGAGTTAGGGGCTGGTAAGTAGGAAAGATTAGGGTTAGGATTTTGAGAAGCAAGGGAAGATGACAAAATTGGAATTGTCTGATGGGCTAAAAAATAATAATTAAATGGTAGGAGTCCAAAGCAAAAACTATGGTGCTATTAGTAGTACTCATAAAAAAATGAACAGTGTTATGGAGGTCATTCTATATTTTCATATACTTCTTTTACATTTGGAGGATGAACCATTCCTCTTCCCAAATGGAGATGGTTTTAGTGGACATGTCAAAGTAAGTAATCCTATAGATTGTGGTTCACCAATTTTTTCATCTATTTTGAATTCAAATTTAAGTATAAAATTTGATTTGATATGTATTATTCCAATTATTTCATCAAATTTGATGGAAAAAATTTATCTCCAATACTTCATCTTTTTAATTTTTCATCAATTTCAAATTTGATAAAAAATAAATAAATAAATAAATAAATAAATAATTGATTCTCCCCTAATTTGATAAATATTAGATGGAAGGATTGGATTTTTCAGCACTTTTTTATCAAATTGCTCTTCGCAGCCTATAAAATTTTGAGAAGGGAGTGCC